GCAAATAGGAATGAAAATAGGCATAAATAACTTGATATGTGGCCGCTAGACACGGTGATTTATCATGCAAATGTCTTAAGAATAAGGGCTAAGTAATGCCTATTTTAGGTGTTATTAATGCCAAGGAAACACAACAACATGCTTTTGTGGAGTGTGAATGGGGCTCGAGGATTTGGCGCCAGTCGCATTGTGCATATTTGTATGAGCTTCCTGGGGCGGGATCGATGGTGGAATGGATGAAGAAGGAAATTATTGATGGCAATGGGGCGAGGCGGGCGGGTACCTCAATACCCATGGCCCGCCCCATGCTACTACAGGTCGGGCGGGTAATACTCGCGTGGGTACGGGGCGGGGCGGGTCGACCCACTTTGACATGTTATTTAATAAAAATACACGTAAAATTTTATTTTTTATGATAAAACGAAGGTGAAAACACTTTAGGAATCAAGAATAGTGATAATAGAATGGGTGATTGAATCTAACTAGATGAAAGATCAAATCTAACTAGTTGAAAGAAAGTCAAAATAGGAGAAATATGAATAGATACGGTAAGAAATTGAGATAGAATGGGCCAAGAACGGGGCGGGGCAGGTCGAAAGTAGATACTCATACCTCGCCCCACGTTACTGAGGGTGGGTAATACCCGCCCCATCACGGGTCAGGTCGAGTAATACCCGACATGACAAGTTTAAATTGTCATCCCTAAAGGCAATAGAGAAGGCGGGGGAGGCAAAGTTTGAAGAATGGAATGTTCTATTATGGTTTCTATGGAAAGAGTGTAACGCTCAACTGTTCAATGGGCTGAAGACGGTGGAAGAGGAAATTGTGGTGAGGGCGAAGTATTTCTTGGAAGACTACCGCCAACATCAGGAAAAGGGAGTGTGAATCAGCTGGTTCCTTGTGTGAAGAAGTGGTGAACACCTCCGAGTGGTCGAGTGATGGTGAACGCAGATGCTGGGATACTACAAGGAGGAATCGGTCTTGGAGTGGTGATGTGGAGAGTACACGTCGAACATGGCAGAAGCAATGGCTTGGGAGATGGGAGAGCAGCTGGCGCAACAATTTTACGTCCAAAAACCAATAAAGGTGATGGATTGTTTGCAACTGGTGCAACTGTTGACAGAGCAAGCTTCTTTCATATCAGAGATAGGGGTGGTCTGCAGAAAAATAAGGAGAATGGTTGAAGAGCGACAAGGGAGTTTCTCCCATGCATGTGTACAGGGAGGCAAATGAAGCGGCTCATATCATGGCACATGCACGCACAAGATAGGATAAGCAGGTGGTATGGCTTGATCGGCCACCAATATATTTAGTTGATCGGATTAAATTGGATGATGTAGCAGCAAACTCTAATTAATAAAGTGAATGCAGGTTTCTATATAAAAAATAAACTCAATACTATTAAAATTATAGGTGTCAATCGGGCGGGTTCGGGCTGGGTTGCGGGTTCGGGTTCATCGGGTTCGGGTTCAAACGGATAGCGGGTTAGTCGGGTTGCGGGTTCATCGGGTTCGGGTTCAATCGGGTTGCGAGCAAATTGGGTTGCGGGTTCATTGGGTTTTGGATCGGGCGGGTTGCGGGCGGATCGGGTTTCGGGTTGTTCGGGTCAGCGGATCAAGTAACTTAACTCATTACTCATTACCAACTTACACATTTTATTACACTAATTTAAAATATTTTCTCAACTTTTTAACCAATTTATTTCTACCTCGTATATATATACTTTATTTTTTTGAAAAAAACTAGTCAAAATGTTAAATCAATTTGTATGACTTGCAAACTTGTTATGTAATTAATCATAATTGGTAAAGTATTATAGCTAATAGTAATGGTGATATCAATATTTGCAACCAAAAGAAAACATTAATTGTTTATTTGATATTTTAGTATTAATTCAGTAGTAATTGGATTAAAGTATCTCATTTAGTATAACCATGCAAATCTGGTATTTGGTGTGTGGTATTTGGCAAAAGCATAGTGATAAAAGAAGTTGTTTCGAAATAACTCATTGCCCAAATAACTTCAGTAAACTGTTGCCAAACGAGTTATTTGTAAAATTGTTCGAATTATCCTAAAAATTGAACCATTAAAGATTAGCTATCAAATTTAGTAAAATTATTGTTACTTCAATCATAACTTACTCAATAGCATATATCCTATACACTTAGCCTTACCCTCAATCAACAATATTGAGTTAGTATATGTTGTTGATTGTATACCCTAAACCATCAATACATTATACACTAACCACATAACCTATACCCTATACCCTAACCATATGTCTTTGAGTTGTGATTTTGCTAGTATAGTTAATTTAAAAGTGAAATTCATACTTTGATTTTCAAAACATAGATAAAGAGTGATATTTGCTAATTGTTATACCCTAACCATATATCTTATACTTTACACCACATACCTTGTACCCTAATCACGTACCATAAACATAAATTAAAAAGGGATCTCCTGCCGTTAAAGACGTCAAATGACTTCAAGTGAACATATGCTAATGAAAAACTTAGAACCGTCAAAACCATCAATATCTTATACCCTAACCACATGTACCTTATACCCTATACCCTAACCATATACTTTATATCCTAAACAACGAACCGTCAAAGATTACTTATCAAGTTTAGTATAATTTGTTGTAACTAATGGTTAATTTATTTATTAGCCCATAAACAATTACATACATACATATATATATTAGCTTTCAAAGCATATAAGAATAATTTTAACTAGTCATGCCCTCCATATAAAAGTTAAAGATTCATATTTCAAAAGCTAAAATTATGAAAAACCAAAAAATTAAAAATACCAAATTTGTTTCCTCCTTTCTTTTCACAAAAATACTATAATTTTCCTCCTTCTTTCTACTTCCATACATTAGAAAACTCAATTTTCCCTCCTCTTTCTCTTCCATAAAATTGAAAAAACCAAATTACCCTCTTCTTTCCTTCTACAAAAAGTTGAAAACTCAAAAGTTTCTCTCCTTATTTCTCTTTCATAATCAAAAGAATCAAATTTTCCCACTTCTTTCTCTTACCACATATCAAAACCACCAAAATTCCCACTTGATTCTTTTCTAAAAAATTCAAAGAACCAAATTTTCCTCTTCTTTCTCTTCCCAAAAATTTGAATACACCAAAATTTCTCTCTTCATTTAAAAACATCAAATTATCAAATACTTTACTTTACTTTACTTTATATTTAATTGATAATTTTATTGAATAGTTAAATTAACCAAAATTTTAATTTATATATTATATTAATATTTTCATGATCTCAAGTGACCTTCATGTTTCAATTTTTGTAATTTTCTTAAAATACGTAATATCAAGTGAGTTTCATATTTTTTAAAGTTCCTATACCAAATGAAAAATAATTTTACTTAAGTTTAGAATGAAAAACTTTATTTTGAAAAACTATGTATTATATATTTTTATAATTATTCAAGTGGATTAGATGAAATTCGGGTTGAGTCGGTCGGGTTACGGGTTAGTCAGGTTCGGGTCAATCGGGTTTGGGTTAATCGGGTTGCGGGTCAGTCGGGTTGCGGGTCAATCGGGTTCGGGTTAATCGGGTTGCGAGTCAGTCGGGTTGCGGTTAGTTGGGTTGCGGGTCAATCGGGTTGCGGGTCGGGCGGGTTACGGGTTGTTGACTTTTAGTCAATTCGGGTTGCGGTCGGGTTGCGGGTCGGGTTGATCGGGCGGGTTAATCGGGTCGGGCTATGTTTTGACACCTATAATTAAAATACATATATAAATTCATTTGGGTCCGATTTAATACTCATATGGGTCCTGACAATTGGGTCAAATTACCTAAGGGGTCTATCCATTGTCATGTCTTGCTGAAAATCAATCTATCTACTAAACCTTAAATTACATGCTTGATTAGCTCATTGCTTAAGTGACAATTGCTTACATTAGTAGGGATGGCAATCAAACCCATGACCGCGGGTACCCAATCGTCCCCGACCCAGTTGACACCGGGAATTCTCGCTTTGACTAGGCATGGGGCGGGTATGGGTATAACTTGCAAAACGTTTGATGAATATTGGACGAATATGGTTTTAGCCTCCCCGCGTCATACTCACACTCATACACGCCCCACCAAGAATATTTGTTCATATAAAATACATGGATCAAATAGTAATCTATCAATGATAATAAGAGTAACTCAACAAAATAATTAGTAGAAATGCAATTGAGTGGCCACCCAAATAAAAATTTAATTCCTTTTTCTCAACTCTCTCTTCCTCTTTCACTTTTCCCTCGTGTTGTTCCTTTCTTGGTCAACTGGTTTGTTGCAGTAATTAAGTTCTTGATGAAACTTATTGATTCATTCGTTTGATTCTTCTTCCCGCAAGCGATTGCATGGCCGAGCAATCCACCACGAAGAGAGAAGCCTGAAAGTCGAAAGGCATTGAAGCGCACAAATGGCGGTACATGCTCTCCAACCTTGAGCGGACTCGCGAAGCCATTCTCCCAATTGGACAACTTGTCAACTACAGCGAGATAAAGTCCACTCTCCAATTTTGACCTCAGTTGCGGTCCCGTTGTTCTTCCCAGCAGTATCACGTCAGGAGACAGAGACCCACATCTTTCTTTAATTTGGATGCTGTGCTATACATCTATGTTCCCCTTCGCCGAAAGCAGATACAACAAAAAAGAATATACCCATCAGAAATTCCACTTACAACCGCAAAGCCAAGCCAAAGATCCATGGCAAGAAAGTTGGCTCCAATCTCTACCAGCTCGACCAAGAATAAGAAATCAATGACCCGCTGGGTCTTTACATGCTGGGTTCTCCAGCTCTGCCTCCTACACATTGCCGTTGCTACGCACTCGAGCAACGAGACGGATCGGCTGGCGTTGCTCGAGTTCAAGTCCAAGGTTTCCGATGACCCTTTGGGAGTTCTAAGCTCATGGAACGATTCCACTCAATTTTGCTTTTGGGGCGGCGTGTCCTGTTCCAGATGACACGTCCGAGTCACGGTCCTAGACCTTCATTCCAGTAGGCTCTCTGGCTTCATTTCTCCACACATCGGCAATCTCACCTTCCTGAAGAAGCTCGACCTCCACAACAACACATTCCACGACGCAATCCCGCCCGAAATTGGCCGGCTACGCAGATTGCGGACTCTGTTTCTATACAACAACTCGTTGGGCGGCGAGATTCCGTCCAACATCTCGGGATGCTCTGCTCTAGCCGAGGTCCATGTCAGAAATAACAAATTGGTGGGAAGCCTACCTCGGCAGCTCGGCTTCTTGTACGGGCTTCAATTCTTTCACGCAGGAGGAAACCGTCTAACAGGGAGCATCCTTCCTTCTTTCGGCAACTTGTCATCTATCCGGATCCTAGCATTAGGGATAACCAATTGAGTGGAAGAGTTCCTGAGGCTCTAGGAAAACTGAAGAAGAGCCTTGAGGAACTGCTGTTGCATCGTAATTACTTAGACGGTGAAATCCCTTCTTCCATTTTCAATCTTACTCTCCTTACACTTCTCTCCCTTGGAGAGAATCGACTCCACGGAAACCTTCCGTGGAATATGGCAACATTACTTCCGAATCTTGAGAATTTTTACGTGCCTTTTAACCAACTCACTGGTAGTCTTCCACCTTCTTTGTCCAATGCCTCGAGTATGGTCCAACTTCAACTGCAGGTCAACAATTTTACAGGGAGCGTGCCTAGTATGGCTAGCTCTCACAACCTTCTGCGTTTAAACATTGCCGAAAACTTCCTTGGAAGTGGCAAGGTTAACGGTGATGATTTGGGTTTCCTTTCTACCTTGACAAATGCAAGAAAATTGCAAGCCCTAGTCATCAGCATCAATAATTTTGGAGGCAACTTACCGGAGCAAATTGGCAACTTGTCATCGAGCATTGAGATACTCGTGTTGGACAACAACCAGATATCAGGAAGCATCCCAGAGGGCTTACAAAACCTTGTCAACTTGGAGGTTCTTTTGGCGAATGGGAACAAGCTCTCAGGTGCGAAATCACTATCAATTATTGGGAACATGCAGAGCTTAGTGCAGTTGCGTTTGGACAACAACGACATTGCTGGATATGTTCCTTTGTCTATTGGAAACTTGAATAGATTGCTTGTATTGCGCTTGGCTAATAACTATCTAGACGGAGGAATTCCTACTGCTATTCAAAACTGCAAAAGTTTGAAACTTTTGGACTTATCAAACAACAATCTTAGTGGAGTCATTCCCACACAACTCATGGGTCTTACTTCTTTGTCCATGGGGTTGAACTTGTCCTACAATCATTTCACTGGCAGCATCCCCATCGAAGTGGAAAATCTAAAGAACTTGGGCTCCTTGGATCTATCCCATAACATGTTATCAGACAGCATTCCTAGAAGCCTTGGCAAATGTGTCAGCCTAGAGTCCGTGCGATTGCAAGCCAACCTCCTCCGAGGAACGATTCCTTTGTCATTGGATTCGTTAAGAGGTATTCGACTATTTGATCTTTCAAACAATAACTTATCTGGTCAAATTCCAAAATTCTTTGAGCAGATGCATTCTCTACAACTATTGAATCTGTCTTACAATAAGTTTGAGGGTGAAGTGCTAACGGAGGGAGTTTTGAATAATAGTATAATCATTTTAGTCATTGGAAATGTCAATCTTTGTGGAGGTTTGCCTGGACTTAACCTTCCACCTTGTAACTTAAGACGACCTAAGAAGAGACTGAGCTATAAGTGGAAGGTTTGTATATCAACAGTCTCTAGTATGATATTGTTGATCTTCATTGCTTCTTCCTTGCTTGTCTTTTGGATGAAAAGTAAAGGAAAACAACATATAGTTTCGAGTGGCGATGATTTCCACACTCGAGTATCTTACCAAAGTCTCCATAAAGCTACAAACGGTTTCTCCACAACAAATCTTATTGGTGTAGGCAGCTTTGGTTCCGTGTACAAGGGAGTTGTTAACATTAATGGAGAAGAGATCACAATAGCTGTTAAGGTATTCAATCTTCAGCATAGTGGAGCTTCCAAGAGTTTTATGACAGAATGTGAAGTATTAAAGAATATCAGACACAGAAATCTTGTGAGGATTTTGACGGTATGTTCGGGTGTTGACTATCAAGGGAATGATTTCAAGGCTCTAGTCTATGAGTTTGTGGTTAATGGAAGTTTGGAAAATTGGTTGCATCCAGTGGAAAGTGTTGATGACCCTCCAAGGCATCTAAAATTTCATCAACGGCTAAATGTTGCCATTAATATAGCATCTGCACTAGATTATATTCACAACCTTGGTGAAACGCCTATTGTTCATTGTGATCTTAAACCCGATAATGTTCTCCTCGATGAGGATATGGTAGCTCATGTTGGTGATTTTGGATTAGCAAGATTTCTTGAATCACCAGGTGCCAATCTCTCTTTGAATGGCGAGACATCCAGCTCCATTGGCATAAAAGGAACTGTGGGCTATGCTCCTCCAGGTATTCACTCGTTGTTGCTATTAGAATGATATCTTACACCTTCTCATTTTGTTTAAACTTTTTTTGATATGATCTCATGCTAAAATACATTATCTTATTTGTCAGAACGATTCAATAAGGTATATATTATATTCTTTTCGTTACTAATCTTTTCCTGGATCTCTATTGTAGAATATGGTATGGGAAATGAAATTTCGATCGAAGGTGATATGTACAGTTTCGGGATCCTCCTACTTGAGATGTTCACTGGAAGAAGGCCAATCGATGAATCTTTTAGTGATGGCGTGAACCTTCAGAATTTTGTGAACACTGCTTTATTAGGACAAGGATCGCCAATCTCAAAAGTTGTGGATCCAATTCTACTCAATGAAATACTACATGGTCGAATCCCCGAGAAAGCTCTAATTTCCATTTTAGAAATTGGTGTTGCTTGCTCTTTTGACTCCCCGCAAGAGAGACTAAATAGCAGTGAAGTTTTGACAAGGCTAAACAGGCAACTTGCTTTATTGATGATTTTCTCAAAGCCTAAAAGGGAGGCGAAAGGTCTGTAACTCATACCTGCAGATTTGGCCTTTCAGTCGTATAGGTTGTAGTAAACTTTTTGCTTTGATTTACATTAGGTAAAACATATATGGTGTATTTTTTTCATGTATTTGTATTAATCGCAAATTGTTCATGCTAGCAATAATGTGATATGTATTTGTGCCATGAAATTGTTTTCTTTCCTATACGTATATAGAAAATGATTTGGGTTAGGATTCAAAATCGATTATTTTTGTATCCTACAAAACCTTTATGGATGGCTGAGATTGAGAGAAAAGAGATCCAGTGGCCATCTTTGTATGGGGTAAGAAAGGAAAGTTGTAAATAGGGGAGAGTGTCGACCGAGTTTTGAGGGGCGGACGTAGATTCTGAGGCGGTTGTTGAGGCATTTTTCAAATCTTCTTCGAAAATTCAATTGACCTTAAGTTTTTAGTTTTACATCGGATTTTACAAAAAAAAATTCATAGGAAAATCTGATTTTTTGTGCTCTACAAGAAGATACTCATTTTGATATTGTTTTGGGAAAAAAAATCCAAGTCATCATATCACGATATTACCACTTATAGCAACATGATCTTGTTTTTTGTAGTGATATAATGTTGATATGATGTTAATATGATAGTGATATGATGTTAGTATGTAGGGTTGGCAACGGGGCGAATCAGGGACGGGTACATAACCCACGTTCACTGTCTTGTCGGGTTTCCATGTCCATGTGACCTAATCGGGTAAAAAATGCATACATAGCATCACCGCCACCCGGCGGATTGGGTAACCCAAGGATCCCTGTTCAAAACAAACAAACGCAAATAGTTACTGAAAATACCTCACTTCATTTAAGCTGAATAACATGATATTCAAAACTGAAATGGAAGACTCTGGGGCTGTAACCCTCCCACCACCAAGATCTTCATTACATGAAAATTACTAACAGGCTGTAGCAAGCAAACAAGTTGCTACAGCCAATATCCCACCATCCAAAAACCCATATGTCATCCCATGTAGTCATGTTCTGAAGTTCATCCAATAAATAAAAGGAAACACTCAAAGAAACATAGGCAATCAGTATCAAACTAAAAGTCTAAAAGCAACAATCCTCCAAAAGCATCCTAGTGAGCAAAACCATTCAGCAACAGTCCTAAATCAGTCATGTTCTGCAAGAATGGAACAGGAGAATGGAAATCAGTATTTAGATGATTGTAGTGAACGGAAGTAAGGACCAATTGATGTTTTAACCCTTTCCGCTGGTTCTTCCTTTCACTGTCAATCATCTAGGTAGAATGGTGTTTTGATCATCACAAAGTCCTCTTCAGCTGCAACAAACATAAAAAAAAAAAGTTGTTAGTGGATAGTTTATGTCGCATAAATATAGAGAATTGAATCTAAAAGAACCAATCATGCTTAGTAATTTACCCTAATTCTCTTGATCTTCACCAGTTGAGTCTTCAATTGACAGAGCTGTAAATACTCCTACCAACACCTCACTATCAGCTTCTGATTCTGTAGAACATGAAAACAAAGCCAAAGGATTATAAAGTAAACTTTAAGATCAAACATAGAGCAAGAATAGAGTAGCAGATTACCTCTTTGCATATCTTCCATGATCCAGCTGCGGGTACTCATCATTGTCTCCACTGTACTATAGTGTAGCCTACTTCTGTGAGGGTCTTATAACCTCCCACCATAGCTAAAATCAAACTCAGAGGCCACTGATGTATCTGGTATGGCCAAAAAATCTCTTGTAATTGCTTGCAAAGTGGGGTACTTAAGACCATTGAGTTTCCACCACATCAATATATCAAAATCAGCGTATCAATGAGTTGTTTTGCTTTTTTCCTTACTTACAAAGATATCAGAATCCAGATCATTGACAGTAACTGAACTACTACCATTGCCATAACAAGACGAAGAAGTAGAAGAATCAGAATTCTTCTCAACCTTGGTTTGGTAAGCTAGAACCAAACTAGATATCATTCTCTTTATATTCTCACCCACCAAATCAGTATTGGTGCTGCCAAACTTGCCAGCATAGTGCTCAATAATCTGAAGCTTGTATCTATGATCCAAAACAACAGAAATAGCCATAACCAAATGTATATCATCCCAATACTTGGTGAACTTCAACCACATATTTCCAGCCATAACAGAGATGATAGGACACGAATCAACACATCAATCACGCAAACTCAATCTCAGATCACAAATCTTAGGGAAAAACATATTAGTAGTGGGATACTTGGTACCAGAAAAGAGCTTTGTGATCTCACTGAAAATTTTCAGTTTATCAATGACAATGACAACGACAACAAAATCCCAGTGCTCATTAGTAGGGATAATAGTATATTAACTATCTTTCATTCTCAAATGAAAGAACACACCTCTATATACAATAGCAACAAACAACATTTCATGGGTGGAATTCCACCTTGTTGGACAATCAAGCCCAAGTTTTTTGCCACAAGTCATTTTGAACTGCTTAACCGTCTCAAAGAAGGTCTGAACCCTCTTAGGTGTAGAGTTCCAATACACAACACTCTCTCTAATTAAGTGAATGCCATCCTTGATGACATCCAAACCATCCCTCACAATGAGATTAAGTATATGTGCAGAACATATCATGTGAACCAGCTTTCCATCCAACAACAAATCATTCATAACAAGATGGTTTTCAGATGGAAAATCATAGCATCGTTGGTGGTACAGTTTTTCAAAGTAATGGAGGACAACTTTCCATCAACATTTCAATCAAGCAAACACTTGAACAATCTGTCTGCCAGCCTCTCACTTGTATGAGGGGCAGGGACATACAAAACTCTCAACATCATGCTCTAAGTTTCCAACCATTATCAATAAAATGACCAGTCACTGCCATATAACCCCACTTTTGGTTTGGTGCAGTCCACATATCAGTGGTCAATAAAATCCTACCAAGATTATCATCAATGAGCTTTTGAAATTTATCCCTTTCAACCCCATACAGTCCCAATATATCCTTCTTCATTGTATTTCTACAAGGCACAGTGAACTGAGGTTGCAAAGAACAACAAAAATGCCTGAACCCCAAGTGTTCAACCATGCTAAGAGGATACTCATGGACCATAATCATAGAACACAACTCCTTCCTAGACACATCAGAATTAAACTGAGTAGCAGATGACATGGGTTTTCCTGTTGGTTTGTAATTAGGGCCAAGAACTCTTTGTAGACCATCATGTATCTTTCTTTGGGTACATGTATTATAATGGCTCCTCAGGTGGGAGGTTCAATTACTAGTATCACCACCTAGTGTTTTTCGACAATACTTACACCTAGCTTTAATAACTCCATTCAACTTAACCCTAGTGAAATGAGGCCAGACATCATACGTCAATTTTCTACCCTCATCAGACATCATACGTCAATTTGCTCAAGAATTACTTCACCAGTTTCATTTCCATTAGCCAAGACATCATTGCCATTACCACAATTATCATTACCATTACCATTACCATCAGAACCAACATTTTTATGTTGGTTGTTTTGATTACCAGGCACAGGAGAAGCATTCTTATTCACAACATCATTTGGGTTGCCCATCTGAAATGAAGAAGATAACACTAATTAATCACTAATCAGATACAGGCAGCAGCAGACAAAGAACACTCACAAACATCAAACCCTAACCACTAAGACCTGCAGTGGAGTTTAGCTACGCTAACCAGTAATGTAGAGAACTGGAGAAGGAGGCTTTGTATTCCAGAATGCATATGGTAAACCGAGGCATGATGATGCGAACCTGATGATCTCCAACAAACAACCAAACAAATGTGTATTGATTAGACTCCATAGACTTATGAAGATCTACCGATCTAGCTAATTTATTCGTAAAAATGAAATTCAAGTGTCTTCACCGACGGGTGCCGGCGGCAGCAACGGTGGGGGAGGTTGAAAAGGAAGACGTTGGGGCGGTTGTGGAGAACTGCGGAATAGAAGAGATTTAATTTTCTTTTATTAATTTTTATTTATTATTTTAATAATGTGAAAATATTAAAAGAATTAAATTAATTTTTTAATCGCCATGTCATACATTTAACGATCAACTTTTAGGGTTGACTGTCACATCAGATTAAGTCAGGGACGGAGCTACAGCAGCCTTCGGGGGGGGCCCGGCCCCCCCAAGAATTTTGAAAGTTACGTGTAAAAGTTCGGTATTAGACGTATAAACTAAATGTTCTGTATAAAAGTAACCAACTTGGAAATAGTACAATAAAAGTCTCTGTAGTCTAGTGTAATTGGGCCGTTCCCAATCAACTAGTGGTTAAGGTTTCGATCCTTGTGGGAAGTATCATGTCTTTTTATCACCAGCTTTTTTGGTAATCCGTTTTGGTTTTTTGGTAATCAGTTTATGTTTTGATCCCTAAATAGTCAATTTAGTTTATGATTTTCATAATAGTTTATTTGTCATTCAAACTGTCACCAGCTTTTTTGGTAATCAGTTTATGTTTTGATCTCTAAATAGTCAATTTAGTTTATGATTTTCATAATAGTTTATTTGTCATTCAAACTGTTTCAAAATTTCAAGGATAATTTGAAATATGATGAATATTTTTAGTTATATGGCCTTTAAGTTTTTATTTAACTAAAAAATTTGATCAAATGCTTAAACTTTCATAGTTGGTTTGTTAATTATTTAATTTTAAATTATATTTAAGTTTTTATTTAACTAAAAAATTTGATCAATGCTTGAACTTTCATATTTCGTTTGTTAATTATTTAATTTTAAATTAGATTGATTAAATTCTTCAATTTTAAGGTTATTTTTGAATATATAATGAATAAATTTTGCCGAATATTAATATTGATAGACATTCGCCTTTAGTTATTAAAACCGTTTACGCCACACAATATTGAAATGAGTTAGTAACTTGTATATAGTTTTCTGATTTATCCCAAATTTAATATAAATTTTTTGTGCGCTTTTAATAAAATAAAATGAGTTTTTGTTTAATAGAATTTTAGCTCTTTACGATAAAGTATCAAGAGAACTCCGACCCCTCGAAAACTAAATCCTAGCTCCGCCCCTGAATAAAGTTAACGGAGAGTGACTAAACATGGACCGTTTTACTAATTCAAGTGACCAAATTTAATATTAATTTTTTTTACTAACTAAACATTAGACATTTTAGGAAATCCAATGATCAAACTTAACATTTACCCATTTCTTACATACAAAAGTTTTGTGTGTCGAAATCTAACTGCGGCCAAATACATCGTAATTGCATACAAATTACGGAACTGTTCAATCTGGAACTTCCCAAGGCCCAGAGCCAACCCACGGAAATATGGAACCGAAACTAAGCCCATTAAATCTTGATCGTAATTCCAAATGGGCCCAGTTAAGTGAATATCATGGCCTTCCACTTTCCGAATCCTCGATCTAGCCCAAAAGTATGGCGCCACCCACGTGTGCAAAACCGCACACTATTTTGTATTTTCAACCTTTTCCATATGTGTGTAATTTACTTTTTTATTCTGTTTTCCTTTTCGTTCAACCTTTGCCACCAGCCTTGCAGACAACAAAGAACCATTGAATGAGACCTGAAATTTCAGTTCAAAGTTTGAATCTTTGTGGAACCAAAACCCTATTCCTTACCTAACCAAATCTCATTATATCATATAAATGTCAGGAGCCCCTTGATCTCTAAGCAAGCAATTCATTCTGTCCAATCTTCTAACATTGAGAAAAAAATGGGTATCATCACTACTTTCGCTAAACGCTACACTTCACCAATCCCTGATCTTGGATTCGAGCAACTTGATCCCAAAGCTCTTGCCAGATTTCATCGCTAGCATCGATGTGATTCGGGACCATGACGAGGATCCTCCGAGGACCATAGAACAAGTCAATTTCACTCCAGGTACGTATTACTGCGAATTTTTGTTCGGTATTTTAATGTATTCGTGCGTGGGATGGGCGCGCTTCAACTTTACCATGTGGTTTGCGTCAGGTGCTAACATGAAATGTGTGAGGAATCGGATCGACGAGCTCGATGAAGCGAACCTCTTGTGCAAGTACACGATGATCGAGGGCGAACCTCTATGTGAAAAAATCGAATCCATTTCTTATGAGGTCAAGTTTGAGGGCGATGGAGAAGGATGTGCTTGTGTGGTGACTAGCCATTATAATGCTGTGGGGGAGTATGGTATTGAAGAAGGAGAAATTGAGGAAGGGAGGGAGAAAGCCATGGGGATTTTTAGGGTTGTGGAATCCTACCTCTTGGAGAACCATGGTAAAGGAAACCGGATCGTACCGGCCGGTTCAACCGGTAAAACCGGGAATCCGACCAGCAGCGAAACGATACCCTACCAGCCACCTTTCTATCGCGCCGGCCGGTTTAATCGGCTTAACCGGCATGAATTGGTATACCGTCCGGTTTAAATCAAACCGGCGGAAATAATAAATGTGGTAAACGTCGCCGTTTCAGGAGACAAAATTGAAAAAAAAAATTAATCGATGTACTAACTGCTAACCCTAATGGATTCTTTCTCTTCGGCCTTCGACCTCCAAGCTCCAAGCCTCTCTGCCGCCTCCTTTCTCCAGACCAGAATCAGATCGCCGCTGCCTGGCGCCTGCCCTGCCAGTCTGCTTGCTCGTGACGGAAAGGCCCGCCGCCGATCGATCTCCAATCTCCAGCGCAGTCCAGCGGGCAGCGAGTCGGCGTCTCGGCGACCGCCTGCTCGTGGTCGACAGCTCCGTGAATATTAGCAAAGAAATCGTTGTGGATGATGATCTCCTACTGAAGCAGGGGAGATGGAGAGGGGACTCTAGCAGAGAAGCTTTTGTGGATGATGATCGCCTGCTGAGATGGAGCTATTTCTTCAGGGTGGTCTGAGTTGAAACCGGGAAACATTGATTTCCTAAGAAGATAGAGAGAAAGAAGAAGGTGAAGGGGGATTAATTTTCTGGTGATTGATGGAAAGACATAGGGGCGGTGGAAAAGAAAGGGAGAAGATGGGGGCTCACGTGTGTTGTCTGTGATAGTGATTTAGGTTTAGGATTTTTATACTAATATATATATATATTAAAGGTCAATTACTATATGGTACTCAAAATTAAATTATACACCAGTCATCAAATTTCTTACTCATTGCATTTTAGGCCTGTGTTTTAATGATTATTACAAAAACGGTATTTACCGGTATGAAACGGTTGAACCACGGTCGTACCACAAAATACCCTACCAGAAAGGAATCCGGTTTGATGACCGGTACGGTTTCCTTTACCATGTGGAGAACCCACATCTCTATAACTAATTTTTATGTACTCCATCATTTGTGTTCTTTATAAGTTTTCATTTTCTTAGCTTTTTTATTATTAACTCTAGTTCAGAGATATTCTAAATCGTGAGAGATATTGATTTTTTTCTTAGTTAATGAGAAGCGCAAAGTTATAAGTATGTGTAATTTTTATGATGTGTTTTCTTTTGGGTGCAAGTTTATTTTCTTTCACTTACATGAATGACAGTGGAGTGGTTTTCTTTTGGTAATTGTTAAATTGATTTATTGTCGTCAATATATGTATCATATATGTGTTGATAAAATTGAAGCACTCTGGATTACAATGTTTGATATTTGTAATTGTGTTTTCAATATTTAAAAAACATTTTTAAATTAAAATGTCGCTAGTAACACTCTCTTTTTAATGCAAAATTACTTTTTAGAGGATAAAATTGGAACGAAAAAACAATCTCGCCCAGATCATCACAACAATCTCAACTAAATAATACATTGTCATCAATGCATGCATAATAATATACATGTATATAAGAAAATCGGTGTATTGTAGTTTACATCGTTTGGTTTATGTGATAGTTATTGTGTTATTTAAATGAGTTATCTTACTTTTCGGGTGAAATGTCACTTTTACCCTTTGTTTGTAATATAAAAAAGCAAGACACATAAAATGGTAGGGACAATATTGGAAGAAAAACACACACAAAAATCTCAACAATCTCACCCAAAACTTGAGATTTAACTGTCACTCATTTTGTTGAGATTGTTATTATGCATGTATTGTTTACAATGCATCGTTTTTTTGTTTTTTTAACAGAAACAATACATGGATTTGTTTCTGTGATGTGACAGAAACTATCACTCATTTTGAGTGATTGTTATATCTCAACTTTTAGTTGTGATTGTTGAGATAGTTGAGTTGAGATTGTTTTGTCTCAGCTTTTAGCTAATGCGACATACACAATCACACATACCAAACGTTGTATTCTACAATGCATCAAATTCGACAATACATGTATAATATTATACATGCATTCTTAACAATACATCTATTTAACAATCACAACTTCCAAACGACCCCTAAGCAAACAATGTATGTATTGTTTGTGCAGAAAATTGGGTAATGTCTATTTTTTATCCAAACCTTTTTCAGATTCTTTTATATTATCCAAACCTATCGAAATACTAAAAATTAGCCAAGTGTTAACTTCCAGTTGGTAATTTTATTAGTAATATTGACTTAGCAACATGATACTAATTTATAAGAGACTCATGAAGGTCAACATTCCAAAATTTTAGTATTTTAACTAAGAAAAGAGTTACAAAATTATTAACGCTAACGTAAAAATGGCTAATATTTTGTTACATTATGAAAGATTGGATAATTAATAGAATTTTAATAGTTTTGGATAATATAAAAGAATTTGAATAAGATTTGGATAAAAAAATAGACATTACCCCATAAAATTCAGAAAAACGATGCACTGTAGACAATACATGTATTGTAACTATTTCAACCAAACAATCACCAAAACCAAACGACCCCGTAATGTGTCTATATCAAGCTGAGATTGTATAATCGCTCATTCTGAATGATTATTTCTCTCACATCAAACAAATAATACATGTATTTTATCTTGCAAACAATTAAAAACGATGTGTTTTTTAGGATGTAAACAACGTGTAAAAATATCAATAGAACAATTAAAGAAACCAAACGATTTAGGTATGAATCAATTTCATATGTAATGATCATAACATTTCTGTATTCACACACAACTAGTTAGTAGTTAGTGGGAGTTGAAGGCTCGTAAAGGCAAGAGGAATCTCCCAGGTTTATAAAAGACGAAAAGAAAAAGAAGTGCAGGTGGACCAATTAGACGAATTTGGATGGCTCAAGTTGCACAGTTTAAAGTGATCAAGAACATCGGCACAACGCTAATCTTTGCCAACATTTCAAAATAAACAAATTGTAGATATGATCAGCATTAGTTTAGTGACCAAATCACTTAGGCCTGCCCAAAAAGACAGTTGGCTGGTGCAGAGATGGTACTTAGGCTAGTCAACCTGGTCCTAGCCCAAAAGGACAATCAGTCTTTTCTAACTGTAAATATAGTTGGTATCCAAGACATCTTATTTAAACTGACCGTCCTTATGAATTACTCTGGATCGCGTGTCATAGCGTCAAGGATTATCTTCGTTATGTCTTACGTTGCCCATCTTTCGAGGTGTTGGTTACCTATAACTATAATATAAGCAACTCCTACTCCTAGCTAGAACTAATAAATTTCCAGGCAGTAAAGAATCCAAAGGTGATGGCTCTATCACTCTTTTATGGCTTCCAAGTCATGATGATCTAGTATTGCATCGATAGGCAAACCCCCATAACGGCAAAGCCTTTCCTTGGCGATGAAAGGATTCTTTTTTAGTGGGATCTCCTTACTTATTCCTTCCACGCACACTTTCCACAGAAAGTTAACTTTGAGTTTTCTGGCCTCTTTCGAAACCCATGATCAAAAGCTCATCTATGCTCTCTTTTGCATATGGTCGGTTTTAGATTGCCCCACGGCTGACTGGGAATAGCAATGCAAAGGTGATGGTAAATAATGCATTGATCTTAGATGGGATGATCCTTAATTCTCAGCTCTCTAAAGCAGTCGAAAAACGGAGCTTCTCCTCCCTTAAGTCCAGTTTGAACTCGTCCCAACGACGAAGACCTTCCCCTTCTGTAAGGTGAGGCTTTGCCCTTCACCTGAGACTTCACCTGAGGAACTGGGGGGACGACTACTTGTAATACAGCACAGACTACTACGAGCCGGTTGGCTAGTCGAGCTCAAAACCCTAGGTGGAACCTAGATACCAATATGCATCGGTCGGAAGATGTGGAGGTACATAATGTGTTTGAATTGTTTGTCGGCTCTAATTATGATGATCATAGTTATACTCTGCTTTGATGGGGGCACACACAAAAAAGAAATATACATAACAACTATAACAGCACATTTCACTCGAACGAAATTAGAGTCATCCTCACTTTCTTCTGAAACACCGTTATACTAACGATACCAAAATAGCATCATAACCTTAAGCTTTCGATATAACAGCTTTAATTCACCTCAAAGTGTTTGGTTCTACTCCCCTGAGGTACTCTACTAACTAATCCTTTTGGCATATTTTTCTGTTTAATATATATAAGGGTGACATAGGTTTAGTTTTAATATTAGGCGCTAGTGCTACTAAAGCTATTTGAATTTTGAGACTTTCATATAAAAAATTAACCATTTAACCACTAAACCAAACCCTTGTTCGCGATGGTTCCTAGCCAGAGTGCCCATCCACGTCCATGCAACTAGCCAAAATCAAAAAGCTCCATTTAAGGCTCAACATGGACAGCAGCTAGCTAGAAGACGTCACAACGAACATACAGAAAACCAACCACAGCTTTCTATCAAATACCAACTTTCCAACCAAAGCAAATTAGCCACCTTTCTTGGGCTCTCTGCCTTTCCCTCTCCTTTGAAAATGACCCTCCCAAAGGGCACAAGCCTTCATCTTCCTTCCAACCACTCTCTTCCATTCCCCTTTCTTTCCCTCTCTGAGAAAAAAGAGGAAGAAAGAAAAGAGATTCCTTACATGTCCCACACCCTTTTCCCTCCAGCTTATATTCCCTCCCAATCTCTCACTACCCTCCATAAATTACACCATAGATTCTCATCTCATCCCTCCCCTTTCTCTTCCCTCTTCTTCTCTCTCTGCCCAGATGGCTCCAGAGTTGGAGGTATTAGCCATGATTTCTTCTGCTGATTGATATTCCTAACGAACATCCGCCATTTTTGCTTGATGCTAACCCTGTTTCCTCTGCTCCTCTGTTTTTCCCGTTTTCCGCAGAGGGCCAGAGTTACAGAGATACAGGTCCGGATGGACTGCAATGGCTGCGTTCAGAAGATCAAGAAGGCTCTTCATGGCGTCAATGGTTTGTATATACAGTAAACTGCCTTCATTTAGACACTCTTCTCATTTCATTGACAAGCTGCATTCTGATTTCGCTTCATCAACAATGGCTGTGTTTCACTCAGGGATTTACGAGCTCTACATCGACGTCCCTCAGCAGAAGCTGACGATCGTCGGCTGGGCCGATCCCCAGAAGATCGTTAAAGCGATTAGGAAGACGAGGAAGACGGCCATCATATGCTCCCATTCAGAACCACCCTCTGATCCACAGGAACAACCACTGGATGGCGGCGAATCACCGCCGCCTCCGGACGAATCAAATCAATCAGACCCTCCTCCACAGGAAGCAGAAGGCCCGCCCCAACAAACTGAGCCACCGAAGGAACCATCGCCACCACCGCAGCCACCAGAGAATCAACAACCGGAGGAGAAACAATCACCACCACCACCAGAGCCAGAGCCAGAGCCAAACTCATCAAGCCAGCAGCCACCACAGCCGGCGGGTGGGCAGAAAGACGTCGGAGAGGTTCACGTCATTTACCACCACCCGCCGTCAGACTACCACCGCTACCCACCACCACCGCCGGACTACGGCTACAGGTACAATGGCTACGGTGGTGGAGGATCACCTTCTAGTTCTGGTTCTACTTCCGGTTATCATCACTGGGACAGATACCCCGACGGTCCGGGGTATCCACCCGTCGTCACCAGGCCACCACCTCCTCATCAGCCTCCGCCTCCACCGGTGTACGTTGCTCACCACAACTACAGCACGTACAGGCCGACACCGTACGTGACGGAGTACGAATACGTCCGATCGACGCAACCAGCACCACCATCACCACCACCACAATCAAGGTACATGCCTCCACCGCAGCCGCAACCATCTAGGTACGCAGACTACGGCAGGATGGACTACTACAACGAGGAGTACCATGACTATAATCATCGCGGGAATGGAAACGTCTCGTCCATGTTCAGCGACGAGAACCCAAATGCATGCACAGTAATGTAAACAACACGATTAAACCGCCGCCCGCCCGGCAATCGAGGGAAGGAAGTTCTTAGATAGCAAGGAGAAATAAAGAAAGAACGGCAATATGAAGATGTGTACGTTATTATTTTTCTGGAAAAGAATGAGATTCCATGCTTGTAAGTGATGGAGAAAGAACCGAATCGATTCTGCGTTCCACTTCCGACTCCATAGGGCCTAAAATCCCTGGAAATGGTTGGAGGGAAGTTTTGTTACTTCTATTATATAAAATCCTATACGTTTCTACCAAAATAATGGCTTTCCAAACATGTAGAATGTTATTTTGACTCGAGGTAGGGCCTTTACACACACTACACTCTCTAGAAAGGGAACACAAACAAAGTAAAGAAAACTAGTACAAAAACCTGCTCCGTCGGGAAACCGGAAGGGTATGGCAGAGGATCGTTGCAAGAACTGGAACCGAATCAAGAGCCAGCCGTGTGTTTGTTTCCCAAGGGCAGCAGGCAGATCATAGGTCGAAAAACATTGACCCGAATCGACTAGGGCGGAGATATATGGAATGCCAGATCACTACCATCATTGATCCATTGCTTGATGAACTGTCAGCCAATGGGTTTCTAAAGTCCTACTTATCATCATCACTGCTTAAATCAGATTCATCGTCTTCCTGACCATATATACGCTCATCAACATCCTCATCCTCGTCATCATCTTCATCTTCCACTTGGTCGTCCGGCAATGCAGTATGGTTACTCTTCAGGGAGTCCTTGTCAAACTTCATAGAGAGAAAGCATCGCAAACAAAAGAACAAAATCGTCATGAAGATGAAATAAGCGAAGATATTAGATATAAATGTAACTACTATGCAGACCTGTGCTGTCACAAGCTGCAAACGACCTGATAACTGCAATAAAGGTTGTACAGCAGCCTCACTAGATTTGGTAATCTGGAGAAAATCAAGGGAAAATATTAGTCATCAGAATTAAACTGTAAGTCAATGTACAACAAATGCATTGGGCGCTACTTACCTTCAGCAAGGAGCTTAAAAATTGGGTTTCTTCAGATTTTTCTTGGGCCACAATGTATTGACCATGAACGACCAATATCCAGGACATCCATGCTAGCACCGACTTTCCACTATGTGATCTATGGAAGAAAATGACCAACATGAGTTTGAGGCATAACTAGGTCACATGCTTTATGAATGAATTACAGCTCCCGTATGAGTTTCAGTTGAAACTGCAGGCTAACTATAATATCTTCGGGTATTTGGTACATAATAGTTAAATCAACTGATGAAGATCGTCAGAGTTTAAATAAAAGCAGCAGCAAAGAGAGCTAACCTCAACTTCCATATGGACACCAAGGTCTCGAGTAACTTGTATGCATTGCTTGGTTCCATAGACAAAACGGAAGCCCTGATCTAGTAGAGGAAAGAACATAGAACCAGTGAGAAAGGCTGAAGGAACAAGTTTGGAAACCTGGTAACAAAAAATGAGAGAGATGGTATTATTCTATCTACAAGAACCTTCTTTTGGGGGAAGTGATCTTCGAGCTGGATTCCCATAGAAGTTAAAGAATCCATCACAGGTTTGACGATGTCACCATCGCTTGGTAGTATTCTCAATTGTCTCAATCGTGTCTCCATGCTAGTTGTTGGAGTCTCAACATCTACCATGTCATCTGCATAAGCAATAAGTTTGAGCAAGCGAAAATAAAAATGTAGCAATTCTGATGCAATGACATGTTTCCTGATATGATATAGAGAACTCGAACCATATAGCTACTATGACGATTAACTACTGATTTCAACAATATGGTGGACAGTATACAACGTACCTTTAAACTCTAAAGACTCAACTTGGCTTCGGCTATCCAAAGCAACATGAAGATCAGATACTTTTGCCACTGGAAGAAGGGAATCCTCCACATTAGCACGGTCCAAAGCAGTAACTGTTGATAATCACAAAAAGTATACAGACATGTTTAATTAGCCATTGGAACAAGTAATACCTTCCTGAATCGGGACTTTGAATAAGAAGACTTGTCAATCTTTACCTCGATCCATCCCTTTCTTAGATCTAATGGACTGCCTAGTAGGAAAGAGAACTCCATCCTGAAAACTACTTAACTCGACATCATTCCCAGCTTCGACTAATACTTTCTGAAATGAAGGCTTCACCAACAGACCATAGGCAAGATACACATTTGCAGATGTAGGTTTGGGGATGACTTGTAATTGTGCTGCAAACATTGCAGGCAGTGCACCCCTGTGCTTTTTATCATCATAAGATAGTGAGACCTTTGTGGGCTTGGCCGTCCGTAGTTCCTCAACACTCTGCCCACACCATGTGTAACAAACACCGGTCTCTGAGATGGCCAGAACATAGAGACCCTCATTGTCATCTGCTTCACCTTTCTCAAAACACTTGGCATGAAGGTAAACTGCAGGATGCTCCATTGCAAAAACACAGGCTGACTGTTTTTTGCCACTGCCAGTTCTCCAAAGTGCAACATATCTTTCACCACTTGCAGAGAGAATGTATTTTCCATCATCAGTAAAAATCATACACCGCACAGCTCCCTGGAAACAAAAGAATGTTACCGAATGAGTGAGATGAAGAGAAAAATATGACGAGAACACCAAAATCTAGCATTGGAATAAGTCGGAATGAAAATAGAAACCAAATCAGGAAAAAGGAAACTCACTGGATGACCAGAAAATTTCTGTATTTTTCTGTGATCAGAGCAATTGAAAGTTTTCAACTGTGAAGCAGCAGTGGCCAATATCTTGCCATCTAATCAGATAGATAAAATAGAATAAAGGTCAAAACTTTCCAGAGAACCAGTAGGGCACGTTCCCTCAACAAACAAAAGAGCAGCAAATACCAAATGCTCAAATCACGAATTCAACAACGAAATGTATTCATTCCACATTCAAGCAGGATAACAAGGGTGGGAAAACTACAAGCCACAATGTCTATATTCATAAGTACCACTACTAACATAGTACCTACCTGGAGAAACACACATAGAGGATATTGCTTTGCTTGAAGCTTTGAACTTTCCCAACACATTTCCAGTTTGTGGATCGATCTTGCAAATCATTCCATCAGCGCCTGCAGTGTAAATGCTTGATTCACTAGTAGAAAATGAGACCGAAGTTGCACCCCTGCATCGTTTGAGAAGACAATAAGGACCCAAACAAACTCTAGATGAATCGTCAAAGATCCTTGAACCCAAATGATTTCATTTACTAATTCATAAAGTTGCAACAGCATAAGAAGAAAAAAATTACACGAGAAAGCTCACCCGGGATGGCAATCACTAACTATCCACTTGGGCTGACCAGCAGCAACATCAAGGGCCAGGACATCCCCACTACCAGTTCCTAACACTAACAAAGAACTCCCTATCTTCCTTTTCTTCTGAAGTTCAAAGGAAAATCAATCAATCAAACATCCCTAATGTAGCCAAATATTGCATCAAATTTTCAAACATTACCAACCTTTCTGTCCAGGGAGAGCCATTTCATGCACGTATAATCGACCGAGAGGTGCCCTCTCTCCGCCTTGGCCAGCAGACTCACATCAGTGGACGCTATGTCTGCAAACTCCGTTTGCACCTGGCCCTTCAGCGTGTCCCAAATCTGGAAGAAACATAAAATTAGAATCAGCAGCAAAACTTGGTAAGCTCCACAGCACATCCCCGCAGAGAAAGATTCAACTACCTTCACTCGGCCGTCGCCGGAGCTGATTGCGAAGTAATCCAACGAAGGACTGAACGCAGTCAGCAGGTCCCTTATATTGGTCGACGCCATTTTATCCTGTTCGACCTTCCGCCGCTTGGGATAAACGGATGTTCCGCCGTTCGGGGAGAAGCGTTTACCTGAGACGGAGAAAGAGACGACGGCGTGGAGGCGATTGCTTTGTGGACTGACGGCGTCGGAGGAGGAAGGCGGGAGGAATGGCGCTAGCAAGAACTAAGAAACCCTCTGCAGGGTTTTAGGGGTGACTTACAGTTCCGGAAGTTAAACGTTTTTTTTTTAGTTTCTTTTTCCTTTCAAATTTAGTAGTAATTAGTAAATGTCGTTGGGTTGGGCTCAATTAGGGGCCTAAATCGGTCCAAGTCCACACGTATTATCATGGGCTGGGAACTAGCATATTTCTCATTTGGTTACGAAAATTAATTTCTCAAAGTTTGGGCCGAGCCGACACCAGCTAGCTCGGTCAATTTTTTCTCCCATTACGGAGAGAAATTCATCGCAAACGACAATGTCCATCCTAGCATATACTTTGATAACATCGTCTGATCATGTTTTCACGGATGATGTCATTAGCATTTTAACTTTTTTTTTTTTTACAAAAGACAATCATGTATTGATAACAAATAATAGTTACATCCTAGACAGCAGCCAAGCCTGAAAATCAAAGCCACGATTCATGATCGGGTACAAAGAGAGGGCTTTCATATCCACAAGATGGGCTACCCTATTACTACTCCGACCTACAAATCGCACCGTCAATCCCGGGTGGGTACGAAAATACTGCAATACTTCCTCTAAAACAGCACCCACTCGACTGTCTCTGGCATCCCTTTGATTGAGTTTGTCAATAATCACCTTAGCATCCCCTTCGAAAACCACATTAGACATGCTATGCGCCAGACACCAAAGAATCACCTCCCTAAGGACCAGAAGCTCCACCGTCATAGGATCCCCCACATGCGGGAACTGAACCCCTTCTACCTGAATGACCTCCCTAGCCGGGGATAACAGAACAATTCCACCAGCAGCATGTGACCCTGGCCGAATCGCCCCATCCCACATACAAACCACCATCCCTGTCTCGCCGATCCCACCATCTTCCCTCACTGAGACCGAGCGTTGGATAACCTTGTTAACCGGCAGTCTCACCCACTCCTCATATTGCTGATGAAATTGACGCATTAACGCAGGGATCCCAAACTGTTTGCCTTCAAAGACCACCCAGTTACGGGAGCGCCAAATCCGCCACAGGATA